TTTTCCCCCCCCCCCCCCACACCAGGTTGTTCCGACATAAAAAAAAAAACTGCTGCACTGTAAATTAGCAGAGTGGCAAAGACTTGCATGTGCACCATGTGCGGTTTGTGGTGCCTCAAGTTGCTTTGAGGCACTACAAACTGCATGTATGTGCTCGTGAGGATGCACCCTGAGAGGCTGCAATGGGACATTGTGGGCAATACTTTAAAAATGCAGTTCAGAAACTAAAGGCAGCTGCCTCCAGAACAGGATCTATTAGCACACTCGCTGCAAAAGCAAGCCAGCCATAGAGGTAAAGCTGATAAAAAGGCTGGAATGATGAGTGTGTGAACATGCTTCTTTGAAAATGTCAAAAATTTTTTTTTTTTTTTTTAAATCTGCTGGAAATTTGCTCTGAAAAATCAGGGTGTGAGCCTGGCAGTGAAGAGGAATGACAAGCTATAAAAGGGCACAGTGAGAAATAAAATTGACCTAATTCAATATATTTTATTACAAACAATATGATGAACTTAACGTGTTCTTATTTGCTTACATTCATGAATATCAAAAATTTGATACAAGACTAAATAATTGTAAGGCTAATGTTGGCAAGAAGCCACTCTGTAGGCGCATCTACATGTGAAGTTATGGCGACATAGTGTCCGTAGGCAAAACCTGGGATGCCCCAGCTATGTTGCCATAGCAATGCTTTCCCCGTTAAAGCGTGTTACTATGGCAACATAGTGCCTAAAAATAACCATGCATGGTGCGCACAGCGCAGTACCGGATGTTACTGCAACATCTTTTAGTACTTCCAAAAGTTACAGCAGCACTATAGTGGCATGCATAGATGTACCCTCTATAGAGGAAACAGAGGCATGGAGGTTACGGGCTAAATTTTAAAGGGGATTTAATGATCTCAAGATAGAGACAGGCACATAGATGATTTTGAAAATCCAATTAGGCTCCTGACTCCCATGGGTGTCATTTCTAAGGGACTTGCAGGAAGTGTGGAGTGGAGCAGAGTCCTCCTTGACCACCAGACTCATCTCTTAACTATAAGACAAAACGCCCTGTTCTCCCGCCCCCCAAAACAGTTTTACGGTGCATGTTAAGGAGGTATCTTTCTGTCCACCAGGAGTCATTTACTTTATGCCGTATTTGTGAGTTTCACTGTTTACACACATTAATTTAAAGTATCTCCCCCATTTTCTCTGCAAATTACTGCATTCAGATGAAGTGGCAGCTGCTGTAATTAAGACACAGTTAATTACATATCCCCTTAATTGCAATGATAGCATTTTGTCAATTTTGTAAATAAGAATTGTTAGGTTTCCTCCGGCAACTTCAGCCTCAGCAGAACTCAGATCCTTATCCTGGTCGCCCCTAGCAAATGCTGAGTCATACAGATATTGTGACATAGACCTAGTATCAGCTGGAAAAGGCAAGAAAAAAATCCTCTTATTAGGTTACAATCAAGCTTGAAACCACCAGCAGCGGCTGGTACTCTTCACTGACTGAACCATTAGGCAGGTATGAACAGGATTATGCATCCTTACCTCTTCTAAAATAAACCTGTAGTATTTTCCTTCCTGAATGTGAATACTGATTTGTTTGGTCTTGTCTCTGTCAATGATGCTTGCTTTCTGAACACAGGCAGCCTGCCAAAATGAGCAAAGCTTTATCCTAGCTTTGCCATAGCCTCTTCTCCTATGTGCCTCTGGTTCTCCGGCAGAAAAAGTACTGGGAGTTCACCATCTTTTACTGGGGAACAGGCAGCTGTCAGCTATGGGCAGAGACAACAAATACAAATATTTGGAGGGGGTTTTGTGTAGGCTCTTTTTCAGACTGATGAGAAATTTCCAAGTTGAAACTATGCCAGAAGGAGGAAACAAACAAACGAGCTCATTCCGTTTCCTTCCCGAAAGATGACAGATGAGCATGAATCAGATTTGCTGCACATAAAGAGCAAAACCTCTCACTTAGTCACTCCCAGTAACAGAAAATTTGCCAAAAATGGGACTGGCTTAGGAGTGTTTGAGTCTGTTTGCAGGCTTAGGAGTGTTTGAGTCTGGTTCCCCCCCTGAAGATTGACTGCAAAAGTGTCTTTGTGGGCTTCTATATTACAAGTGTTTAACTTATTTCCCTGTACTCCGTTTGTAAATGAAAAAATGTGTTTTTTCATCCCACCCCCCCAACTGGCAGCCCTGCAAACTCTCAGCTCTGATGGTAAAGCCGGATTCCTTCCTTTTACACATTAGCAACAGTAAAGGTTCTCGTGGCCAAATTGTCTTTATCAAACCCTATATAAGATCACTGTTTTCAAATCATTCCCCCAGGAGCACCTATCCAAACATGCTGAAGGCTACAGGTTTGTAGAGATGTCACTGATGAAAACCTGAGGAGGGCAGGGTTGCAAAGAACAAACTGAGCACGTCTACACATTCATTAACATACTTTTGCTAGTGCGCATTAAGTTTAGTACCTCTGGGTGTTTATGTGCACGCTCTGGGCGGTGGCTTTAGTTGGCACAGCTGTGAGAGCGGCGCTAGTTAAAGCACCTGCAGCATCACGTGTATCAGCATCCCCATGCTTTAAAGTTTGTTTGATGAGTCTGAGTGCCATTTTTAAGTGCCTTGCCACCATTTTTCAGTGCGGGGACACCGATACACGTGACACCAGAGTTTGCTGAAGCATAGTAATTACCATGCTCCAGCAGACTTGATTAAATTGAGTCTGCTCCAACACACTGTAATTACAACCTCCCTGCACACGTATAGGCACCACCTCAATTGTAATCTACTAGAAAAAAGCACATTAGCGAAGCACGGTTTGTTGTGACACTGTAATATGCATTAAAATAGGCTAATGCACATTAAAGCACACGTGTAGATGTGCCCACTAAGGGCCTAATTTGATCTGCAGACTCTTCATTGCTCGAGGTGGTAAGTAATAAAAAAATAATTTGTCTTCACTACCAAGGTTTGAGTTTGAGGCCAACAGTTAGAAAACCCATCTCTGTCTGCCAGTTAAGAAAATTTTACTAGAGTGAGGACATGAATGAGATATGACTTTGGTCTCTCACCAAAGTCATATCTCATTCATGTCTTTGCCCCAGTTAAATTTTCTTAACTGGAAGACAGAGGTGGGTTTTCTGACTGCTACATATATAGAGATCAAAGTCATTTTTGGAGTCATTTCTCACATTAGAGCCACAAGTCAATCTAATTGCCAAGTGCTTATTAATTCCTATATTACTGCTGGTTGGATGAATATGCCTGGGGTGCATTCATATAGTAAGAACACAGTGAGGCTTTGCTTGGATTTAAAAACTGACTGAAAACAACACAGATGAGATCATGACTCTAGAGATAGTGAATAAGTTGCACTGCTTCCCCCCACCCCACTAATTTCTCATTCAATGGGCATTTTCACCTCTGACTCACAAAGTGGTCACACCCAGCTATTCCCCTCCTGCCCCCAGTCAACTTTGAGCCTTTAGTGAAGAGGTTGGTTGTAGCTGGCAGAAAAGCCACATAAAGTGTACAGGCTAAGATCCTCTGTCTTCATTTTTAAAGTACAGAACAATCAAATCAGGAGAGAATGAACATGTATGTGAGCCTGCATCTATAAAACCACATCAAAACCATTCAAATCCCTTTCCTATAACTTTGGCTCACCCCTAAACAATTGTTTTTACCCCAAATCCCCTCTTTTGTGCAAAAAAGTCCTCCTTGCCCTTTCCCTCCTTGCATTTCTCCTTTAAATCCTTTCTTGGCAGAAGCACTCTGTGCCAGAATGAGCAGTGACTTAATTTACACAACTCAAGATTGAGGTGCTGTCCTGAGGTTGATAGAGAAAAACAGCAAGGGTTAAATTCTAATTTATAACCTATCAAAACTCAACAGTGCTTTTAGTCCATGCCATTAGTTGGGTCATCACTAGTATCCAATAGTTTAGTGATGCATCAGATTCTTTCCCCCACGCAAACCCCACCATGTTATATTATACATGTGAAATCAACCCTTCATTTGTTTCTTTTATATCATTAATTGGATCATGGATCCATCATGTCTTTTTGGGGTAATATTGCTAGAATTGCTCTGATTCTACAAAACCACCCAGCAGTGGGATTTATACTTTTGCTACAGTCAGTTTTGAACATCACAATGCTACCTGCAGTGATGCAAGTGGCTTGTTCCCAAGAGTTTAAGGAAAGATTCCAGTTTCACTGTACAGTTCTTGATTGGGGACAGGAAGTTTACTCAGGTGTTTGTTATTCCTTCTCACCTCACTTTTTTTTCCGTTCAGGGATTCACATAGATTTCCATGTGCATGTGTGAGTAGTTGAAAAGGTAAGCCCCCATTACAAACTGTAAAATAAAAAATGTAAGGTTTCTTTGACTCAGAAAACAAATGAATTGATGAAAAAAGATCCGTCTCCTCTGTTCGCTGGTTATATAGCACTATTTCAAGAAACACAATTATTTAGATTAGAACAGTATATTTGGATTATCAAAGTATTTTTTCAATAGATGATTGTAATTTATATTTAGGATACAGATTATTGGGCAATTGGTTTTGTCCTTGACCTGAGACTAGGGAGGTCTGGATTCAGTTTCTAAGTTTGCCATAGACTTCTTATGCGCCTTACACAACTATTCTCTGTACCTTTGTTCCCCATCTTTAAAATAGGATTATAATGCTTGCTTTCCTGCATGCTTTGGCCATCTTGTCTATTTAGAGTGTAAACACTGGGGGTCAGGGATGCCTTTAACTGTGTTTGTGCAGCATCTAGAGGAATGGGGCTTCAAGGGGCCTGGCTGCAATGTAAATATTTCTTGTTCCCACCACCTACTGCAGGACCATTATTGCATGTCTAGTGCAGAAATTGTAGAAAATTTTACCGTCAGTTTTTCAAAGACTTCTCAACCTGTCCCCCTCTCTTATACACATGAAAACTGACAATACCAAAACATAACCTGTACAGCCACCTTGTAAAATGGTTGCAAGTTCTGGGTGCACAAATGGAGAATACATTTTAAAAAGATGGCCCTTAATATGCACACAGAATTATTTTAACTATCTGATGGTTGGAATCAACATGCTACATACAATCATGTATAACTACCTCTAGGTAAATTAATTGCATCATGGCAAGACTAATATAATCCCAACTAGTAAGACAGCAAATCATGTCCCCTTCTGCCAATAAGGTGAAAAATCACTCTAATTCTAAAAGCATTTTTGTAGTAGGTGTGCTTTCTCCTGCTGCTAAGAATAAAACTGAGGAACAATAATTGCAAATGGGCAGAGTGGGGGAAAGGAAATGAAAGCTATGTTGGTGCTGCTGACAATGATGAAGACAACAGTTGTGCAGAACTGGCTGACAGGGATATGGAAATGTTGGTAAATATAACAGTGAATCTCAACAGCTCATATTGTGTGTGCGTGTTGGAGTTGTCACATTTATATGTTGTATAGCTACATTTTCCAAGATTGACTGAAATTAACTAAGGCTTGAAAAATATATTCTTTTGTAGAGTGTATTTGATGGGGAAATTTGCTTAGTGCTTTATTAATTAAATAGATGAGGGTGCAATTCTACCAATTCAAGACAAAAGCAGAATGCATGAAAAACCATTTTTAGAGATCTTAGGTTATGATTGTAGTCAAAGTAGGAGTCTGGCTTTGAGATCATCTCTGGGCAATGCTCTTAACATCTAACTCCATACTCCGGTGAAATGGTTGCCACAGATCGACCAAAACACCATTCACCGCTGCTGTTGATGGGCAACAACATGCAGAAAACATCTACCATGTTTTCCAAATACTAGTGAGTCACTGTTTGCACAAATCAACGATTCTCCTGGAGGCGGAACAAATTACTAGTTCATTACAGCAAATGGACAGATTGCGATTAACTACACAGGATTAATAAATCTGCAAAGAAACTGCTTTGAATCACAGCCTATACTAGATAACTATAGTGGAATGATGGGGAACATTTCTATTTTAAGACCTGCAAAATTAATGCTGTTCCATACATACAAGGTCAGTGCTTTCATGCGTCTCCAAAAAACATTTAAAAAACTGTCCTCTGATATGTTTGCTTTGACTTTTGCTCTTCAGTGCCTTGCATTTTCTTCTAGATACTTCCTGGAAGACATCCAATAATTATCTCTCTGCTTAGAAAGTCTTAGTTTCAATTTTTAGGTTCATAATAGATTGAAGTAGTAAGTCATAGGAGAAAACTAAGGCTGTAGACAGATATTACAATTGTACTGATATCAAAAGGTTTCAGATACAATTTTTTATGATGCAACTATTAAGTCTGCATGATTCTGTAGTATAACAACACTGCTCCACCTTTAACCCTGCTTCATTCAGGGTCATTTAGGCTGAGCTAGCCATCTTGTATCACTATAGGATCCTGCAGTTGTAACTCTTAGATCATAACAGCAGCAGCAGAAGCTCTCTCCCCCCTTCAACGTACCATATTTACTCAAATACAAATTGAGGTACCCCCCATATTGGGCAAACATGCTGATGGGACAGTATGTGTATACACACACTGGGGGGGGTGGGCATGGGCATGCACCCCTTTAAAAAAAAAAAAACACAACAAAAAATGAACAGGTGTTCCCTTCACTGGGAATCCGCACGGGGTTTGGAGATATTATACCAGATTGATCAGCACCAGGAAGGCCAGAGCCAGCCCTGACACCCTTTACTTGATGCCAAAAGTGCTGTTTAAGATGTTTAAATTTTTTTGCAAAAATATATACACACACACACACACACACACACACACCCTGTACCTTTAACAACCTGTCAAGTGACCACTGTGGTTCACTTAGCATATCAGAACATACTTTGACCGTTAAAATACTGTAGTCCCGTTACACAGTCTGCACTGTGCACCCATCACCATTCCAGTGTTACCATTCATTGTTCTTTCAAAGGGTTTGCCTCTGAAAAAGCCTATGCCAGTCCCCTCTCCACCGTATGAGGTCTGCCATTTCTTTCCCATCGTCCTTTTCTTTCTGTAGTACTAGTACATTTCACTCAGACCCATCTTAATGCAGTTCCCCACTGTAGGGTCCAAGGGTCTGTTTATGACTGATGGGACCCTACTGTAAGGATAGGTTAGTGCAGCCTAACAGAATAAGCACCATTAACCACGAATGCTTTTCCAAGTCACTGTGAGCCACATTCCGACTTCCTCTTCATTCCCACAGCTGCAACTCTATTTCCAATGATTCCTGTTTCTTCACCAACCTTAAATCTCTGGCAAATATCACCAAATGGGGCTCCAGTTCACACAAAATCCCGATGTCACCCCCTCAGCCTGTCACACAATTAGTATGGCCCCTGCACTGCCCTCCATGAAGTGAAGCTGGACCAAGCTGCCCTATGCTTCATCTGCATATCCGTTTTTGGAAGATCTCAGGACTTATGACAAGAACACCCAGTTCCAGTCATGAGTGGCAGGCTAATTAGCATGTGGATTGTTGTAGGGGGGATCTGGAGTACACAGACACACGTGCATATTTATCAGTGCTGAGCTCTGGGGTCACCATAGCTGGAAATGCCTTTGATGCTGATGGGGCCCAGCCTAATGAACTTTACGGTAAAACATGAGTCTTAGGCTTTGGAGTAACATCATGCATAGTTTGCACTCTGTATAAGTAGGTACCAAAGTGCTACTTGAAATTGTGTTTATGGAGTATCTGTGCTAAAACATGCAGCATTTTCCAAAAAAGGTAATATGCATCAACTGGATGAACTAAGTTTATGGGTATTATATGCAATTTGCTACAGGTATGTCTATTTCAAGGTCAGTTTTTTTCAGATTTGCTCCTCACTTCTATGTGCTCAAGGAGAACAGGGTCTGACAGTAAGATATCTGGGGATGGGGCTTCCAGGGAAAGAGGTGTGAAAAGGACAAAAAGGGCCACCTGATCTCCAGGTTTAATTTTCCCTGCTGTAGCAATAATTAGATTCAATACCTGGAAACTTATACCTAATATATAAATTTTCCTTATCTAAAATATAATTATTGGTGGGGGTTCATTTTATAATTGAGTAAATAAGGTAGCTACTGAGTATATTTGTCCATACTGTAAATAAGTGATCTTCAACTAGGGCCCTGTGCCATCTGGGGTGGCACTAGATCAAGGTATGAACAAAGTCTGAAGAGATAAATCAGTAACGTCTCTGCCTGGCCAAGCGCCTATCCCCACTACCTAGAACTCCCTGCAAAGAGGTAAGCACTGTAATATGTAAAGTAGTATTTGAAATAGGGTGCTAGTCAATTTAAAAGTTATGGAGTGTCTTGACTGCAGTAAGGGATGCCTTGAGTCCAACACAGTTAAGAACCACTGCTCCAAGTTCAGTGTTTCAGTAGCTGCTTAGTAAGAGAATAGCAGAGAGTAAGACTCTAACGTTTTCTATCATCCTCTCCAGGGATACTATGTCTGGCTCAGCCTCAGCTATCAAACTACGTCAGTTTGTAGATCCTGCACCAATCCTACCTCCAGGGTAAAGTATCTAGACACACAGGTGCACACACAAATGTGGTTCAGGGTGTCAGAGTAGTCAACAGTGAAACAAATATTCTGCATAAGACTCATTATGGTTTTAGAAGCGTTATGTAAAAAACCTGCCCTGGGATTTCTGAAAGTGAAAAGATTGTGTTTATGATATAAATTCACAGCATCTTTAGGTCGTCAATAATGTTTAAACTACTATTTTCAGTGCAATTTTTGTTTCGAGAGAAACACAATGACACCTAGCAAAGTTGTACTAAATCCTAGTACAGAATCCTATGGGTTCTGTATTTAAGAATGTAACAAAGGCAAAAAACTCACTCATTGCCTGGGTGTCAGTTTAGAAGAAATTAGAATGGACCCGTCTCTAGGTTCTTTAGCCACTCCCAACTCTTAAGTCCAGGATAGAATTAAATAAGCATATCAAGACAAACATTTGTCCTATCAAGTTGGGGTAAGACAACAGAAGAATCCAGCCACTCACTCTTTCATAACCTCCATGTAAAACATTAGTAAAATGTAAAAACAAGACTATTTTGTACAAAATCTAGTTTCATCCCCACCTAATTCTACTCCCTTCCCTATGTTCTAACTAGCCACCTGGTGTGAAATTATAGGACTAGATATTCTACTCCCTTCCCTATATTCTAACTAGCCACCTGGTGTGAAATTATAGGACTGGTGGTCCCTTGACTATGCCTTACTCCATGAATGTAAGCCAAATCTCCGCCCCCCCCCTGAAAAACGTAACCCGTGTCTCATTTCCTCTATGACTGGAGTCTGGTAATTAATTCCTCTTGCATATCTTGTTGTTAAGGGGGAAACACAAACACACCCACACACAAACACCTTTCTTGGCAGTGAAGGCACAGCTTCAGGCACTTCAGCGCTTCAGAAAGTTTTACCTTAAACGTCCTTATTATAGCTCAACCTTCCCTTCTCTGAGTCAACTTCTGTTTTCAGCCCCTCCCATGTTCAGGAGTGCTTTGAATGCCCATCAGCATGCTGATATTTGTGCTACAAGATGAGTTAAAGCATTTTTCAAACTGATTTATGTTTCATTTCTGAAGTCACTTTTTGTCTAGAACTCAATACACAGCACAAAACATCAGGAGTGCTGGCTATAAAGCTTCTGTTTTTATAAACCTCCAGAGAAGAAATTCCATTTAGCCTTTCTTATGGAAAGGTAGATGTCATTCTTATCTCTGTTATATTGTCTGTGCTTATTTTAGACATTTGTTTTGCTTACTAGCACAGCTATTCGTCAAGGAAAGGATGTTCAAGGGTTTTATCCTGGGCAACTAGGACGGGTACACAAGATGCATATGCCTGAAAAGTCTCTAGGGTAAGGGAACTATTGTATACAGATCTTTTTAAGAACCTTATTCTGGAATTCTTAGCATTCAAATTCAGGCTGGACAGTGACAGCACATAGTGGTGGGAACACCAGATATTCCTTGTCAGCTTTACTCATAAGTCAAAAAGGAAGCACAACAAAAGAGGAAACATGAGCTAAGGGTAAAACATACAGAAATTAGTCGAAATCACTCATTCCTGGGCTGGCCATAAAAGTATCATGTAATATTAATTCGCTAGAATCAGAGAATCCTGAACTCAAGTTGCTCATAAAAAAGCAGACTCATCACCAAGATGTTATTAGATCTATTAATGATGCTAAGGATCAGTAATTAAAGGGTTGGGGGGAGGGGAGAGTTGTTTTATTTGTTTGTTTTTCTAATTAAAGGATAATACAGTATATTTCTACAGTAATGTACATTGAAGCAGTTTAGCTTATGCTGGCTAAGGAAACAGCCCCACTCACACTAGTTTTAAAAAAATTGAACAAAAATACTGAATCATGATGGTCTTACTGCATGTACTCACGCTGTTAATACCTATTGAAT